GGCAGTCTGCGTAGACTAGGTATTTAAAAAAAATGAACCAATTGTGTGCTTGAACCCCAATTCTGTTTTAAAAGTAATTTAGATAAATTCATGTATATTTGAGAATTGAATCTGTAGTGTTTGTCAAGTAAATAAGACAAACCAATAATATTCATAATTTAAACAAATTTTTAGACATATGTTTCTACCACTTTCTTCTTTCTATTAGATTTTATATGAAATGGCTCTTTCCTGAACTGGTTAACCTTCATAGTGGTCTCCTAATCAAACTACTTATAAAAAACTATGTGGAGGCTTTCAATTATGGAAAGCAGTTTTGCTAGTAAAAATAATGCACTAAATTTTTATATATTTTTTGAGCGGCAAAGATATATCTCAGAAATATTAAAAAAACAAGTTAACAAACGCATGCATGTTAAGAGGATCAACTTATTTAAAAAAATTTATAGAATTTGAGTAGAAAGTTCGTGTCCAAAATAAACTCACACTCACTAAGCTGTTCAAAGGTTAAAAAAAATAATTTTAAAAACTACAGCAATAGCCTATCATATTTTGAGAGCAAATAAATTGTCAGTTGGGTGATTCCCCATAACCTCGAATCTACTCGCTTATCTCTTTTCTTTTTGTTGATATTCAGACAATGAGACGTAACATCAAAAGCTTAAACTATTGGAAAACAATAATTCAAAAGATTTTGATAATTTTTGTCACTTTAGTTTCTGAAAAACAACTCTGGATTATTTAATTTTAGAGATAAGACAATCATGACTTAACTATTAGTTATTTAATCGACGTGTGATACCATTTAAATATGTTTGAGTAATTCATTATTTAATATGCAATATTTAATAATATCATTATTAATTAACACTTCGAAGACATCATGCACAAAACTTTAAACTTAAAGGCACATACCGACAAAATTAAAAATGTTAAAATAAATCTAAATTTTATTATTATTATTATTATTATTCGTCCTTTTCTAGGACAACGTTTTAATAAGAAGCAAAGCGCGTTTTAAGAAGTTCAACCTCTTCTAGATAAAGATTAATTATGCTCATCATCATTCGGCGCCAATAATGATGCTATTGATCATGTGATCAAGCATTTTTCACCTGTTAATTTTGCTTTTTAGTCCCTAGTGATACCTGCGCCCAAGAAATAAAGAATAATCGAAACTTAATGCATGATGGTGTAATTTCTAAGTCAACTATTTATTAGTAACTATAATCATGTACTAAGTCATCCATGTCCTATATTTAGAACGAAAATCTTCCCTGTTTTCCTTTTTTTAATGATAAACTAAAAAAGAAATAGTTGGCACCAGATGCGGCATTTCAGGCACCGGGGCAACCAGAACCCGTTTAGTTTTCAGCTTTTGCATACTACTATTCAGCTTATAAATAGCAGAGATGCTAACTGCAACGGGTTCGACACGGATTTTTAAAAAACTGTAGAGAACTACGAACTAAAATTGGTTGTTGGTTGCTTTTTTTAAACTCATGCCCACTTTTTGAAAGACTCAACAAGACTTAACTGTAACAAAGTGGCGTAACGAATAAGCCTTTGAATTATTTAGAAAAAGTGGTTATGGTCTTTGATGACGTCATTTCCGAAAAATGTACAAGATGCCGAATGTCCAAAACAGTTTTTGAGACACCTAAGCAGGCTTGAAAAGAAAATTCCGCGCACAGACTTTCCTACACAAATATAGACAGGACCTGGATTGTAGACAAATTTTTTATTTTAATTAGCCATCACTTTTTTAAAGAATGCTTACCGTAACTGACATACTAATAAATAAGGTTTAATAGATACACGTTTTAAAATACAGTTATGAATAAACTAAACACGTCGTTTCAGATAACATGAGAAATACTAGTTCTAGGATGTTAGGCGTTTATGTTACCTTTGCTTATGCGTAACGTACATGGCATTAAGAGTCAAAGACAAATAATAATTCCCAGCAAAACTCATTTTTGATTACAGAGTGCTGTAAGCTACAGTTGCTAACAAATATGGATTGTCTTTAGTATAAATTAATTTTATATATCAGATCTAGTTACCACAACCGCCTTCTGAATAAGTTACAATAAACTAATCATTAAGAATAATTATGCTCACTTTATAAAAGTGTCACCTCGAGATAACGGCAATAAACTTGCATACCATATGATACTTTGAATTTTTGATATGTAGTGGTGGAAAAATCGCTTCAAATAAAAAATACTAAATTTAAAAAAAAAAAAAAAAATTCAATATCATTACTACTAGAAAGTATTTTTTAATATAGAGCAAGTTGGCACGCATGTGTTACAGAAACTCAAGTAAATGCAAGCTATGACAATGACAGGTATGACACAGGTGACTAAAAATTTCAAAAATGATAAAAACTCGCTTTTATTTATTCAATTATTCAATAGCAACTACCATCATAACTTACATTGAAAATTAATCATATTTAAAACAAAAGATTTTTTTAAAATTCAAATTCAGATACGACTGTAGTGCACAGAGGCTACACAGCCAACACTCTGATCTTTTTTTGCCAAACGCCATTAGTCCCAGCCACACGTGATATTATCAGATGAAAGAGTGAGATGCCAGCTTCGACAGGTATTCTGGTTCACCACCTATCAAGTCAAGTTCCTAAAATTCATTGCACCAAACCTCTTAATCTGAAATTTTGCCCTAGGGCACCTGGTACTTTTGGCATAAATAAGTAGGGGGTAATCAAGGCAGTTAACGACTGGGTAGCGTGCTGCATTATGCAAATCTAATCGATATTAGGCTAAGATATAATATGAAGTAGAATATATGTATTTACACTTTATATTTAAATACATATGAACATTCAGATTATAGGGTAATCTATTATAGTTAGTTAACATAGTCTAAACTAACTAACTAATCAAGTTTTTCAGAGTATCTATCCATGAATGGATATCTGCTCTTTCATCTAAATTGAAGAATATGTGGTGGAAGGGAAGGGAGGTGCTGCGTTAACATTAAGTTAAATCTCAGAATGAACAATAATTGATAAAATCAAGTCTGGGTTATACATAAAAATAAATCGCAAGTTATACATAGTCTAAGGTTTTTACGGTTTGTTTAAATACGTTGTAGTTGGTAATAAATAGTGGTAATTAAGGAAAAAAATTGCTTTTTGGAAAAAGGATAAAAATTTATTAATTTTGCTGACAAGCATCACTTCATTCATTTATTGTCTTTCAATATAGAGTTTCCACCCTGTAACCCTTCTATATAATGGATTATTTTATAGATCAGTTTATAATTTATCATTATTAATTATAATTTATTCATTATTCTGTGAGCTTATTGAAAGAAACACGTAATGAAATAATATAGCCTTATTAATTTTATGCATCGAACTATATTTCGTCGTTTTGTCATTTCTGTCTCACAACCGTCTCGTTTGAAATTTGTACTGAAGATTTTTTTTACTTAACATATTAGTTTATGTCTTTATCAAATATGTATATTTAGTGCAGCCAAAGTATGTTGTATGTTAATCAATACCATATAGAGCATGAAACATATAACATGCTTTACTCTCATGGTGTAACATTTTTTAAAGAATATCCCTTATATTTGTTTCTTTAACTTGTTAAATATAATTTCTGCTGAAGTGGTGTAAATACAACTCTTTGTACTAACAAGAAAAAGTACTCAGAGTGAGATAAATTAATAATAAACACGTATTGCATTGTTATTATTATTATTTTATTTATTTATTACTCATTTATTTATTTGTTTATTTTTTCATTTTTTTTTCTTTTTTGCAGCTCTATTAAAGCACAAGTGCATGTTCCTACAAAAGCACCAGTGAACTTCTGCCACTAACATGTTAAAAGATTCAGAATGCAAAGGATTTATATTGAACTCGTATGGCCTTTTTTTCGCTCTATAAAAACATGGATCATATTTTTAAAGTGAAAACTTCGACAGCTAATGTGTTAAAGTATTTGGAGTATAAAACATTTATATTGAGCAATCATTGTAATTCGTTTCGCTCAATAAAAACACAGATCATGTTTTTAAAGTAAAACTTCGACAACTAATGGGTTAAAGCACTTGGAGTATAAAACATTTATATTGAGCACTCATTGCATTTCGTTTCGCTCAATAAAAACACAGATCATGTTTTTAAAGTGAAAACTTTGACAGCTAATTGGTTTAAGTATTTGGAGTATAAAACACTTAAATTAAGCACTCATTGCATTTCGTTTCGCTCAATAAAAACACAGATCATCATTTTAAAGTGAAAACTTCAACAGCTAATGGGCTAATGTACTCGGAGTACATAACTTTAATATTCAGCACGTAATCATTCAATTAAAGCCCAGATAATGTTTTTAAAGGGAAAACTTCGACAGCTAATAGGTTTAAGTACCTGGAGTATAAAACATTTATATTGAGCACTCATTGCATTTCGTTTCGCTCAATAAAAACACAGATCATCATTTTAAAGTGAAAACTTCAACAGCTAATGGGTTAAAGTACTCGGAGTACATAACTTTAATATTGAGCACGTAATCATTCAATAAAAGCCCAGATAATGTTTTTAAAAGGAAAACTTCAACAGCTAATGGATTAAGGTACTCGGAGTACATAACTTTAATATTCAGCACGTAATCATACAATTAAAGCCCAGATAATGTTTTTAAAGGGAAAACTTCGGCAAGTAATGGTTAAAAGTGCAAAACATTATTATTCAGTACATATTGTATTTTTTTAGCTCAATAAAAGCACACAGTATATTTCTAAAATAAGAACTTCGGCAGCTAATGAGTAAAAGTATTCAAAGTACAAGCAATAAACGACAGTGCATCTTTTCGTTCTACAAAAGAACTAAGCCTTAAAAAATTAAATTATCAATACTGCAGCAATAATAGAAAATTATGCCGAAGCTGTTATCACTTAAACGTTACCATATTGTTCTAAATTATGTATTGAAGTTTAAAAAAATAATTACTTACCCGCTTGTGTTTGAGTTGTGCATTCTAAAAGTATGATTAATATGGAACATTTGAGTAAACACTTATAAGAACATGAAGAAAACATTTTGAAAATTTGAGTAATATTTAGTTTAAAAACGTCGTTTGATCTGCGATATTATAAGGTACACCTATTCGCTTTTTTCCCCTTTATCTAATTTTGATAAGGCTTCTTTTTTTTTCTTTCTTTATTTATCACAATTGACTTTCATTTTGCGTAGGAATACTTAATCGGCATTTATCCTTTAAATGCTTCGGTTGCTCTTTTTTTTATTTTTTCGTTTCATGAAAAATTGTAATATTTATTTCTTTACAAAAAGAAAGTTTGTGAGCTCAACGTTGATTCAAAGGTGTGATATTTCAATTGTTAGTCATGCCATATCGCTAAATATTAACAATGTGTTTCCCATTTACAGAACATAAAAAAGGGCTAATTAATGTTTTCATTATTTTCTTATTAATTACTTATTTAAATGAACTCAGCTTGAAATACACGTTTGAGAAAATGGATGTATAACAAAATGTCAAATATTACGTAAGCACGTTTTTGATAAATTTGACCCCTCCTTTTTTGACAACCAAAATAGGCAAATTGCAAGCACCATATTATCCTTAGAAAATGGCATGCAATGTTCTTTTTTTTCTTTTTTTTTAAATTTTGACTTATACTGTAATCTAATTTTAGGATTAAATTCCGAACAAAATTTATATTTTAAAACATTTTGTAAGATTTTGAGAAATTGAAAATATTGATTCTTAAAGAATCTTTTGTATTTTCCTTCTGTGGTCAGAACTTTTGATCTTTTTCGAGAACTACTCAACTTATTTTTCTCACATTTTACATTTTGCCATGAAAAATGACGTACTTTTAAATTATGTAAAAAGTTATATACTATTCAATTCAAAATTTTTCGACTAATATTTAATAAAATAATGAAAAATGATAAATAATTGCCAAAAGATATTTTTTGCAGTGAATTATCTTTGAATAAACGAATTTTATAATTGTGTGTAAAACATTTTCTATTTCCTTCAAAGGTTCTCGCAATATGGTAAAATACGCAAAAAATAAAATTAACTTTCAGAGCTCCAAACTTAGAATCACTCTCCATCTCCAGACCTAATTTTGGGGACCATATTTTCCAGCGTGGGGCTACCCCCTATATTTTGGGGCTTAAAAATCCGAATCCGTCGAAAAAAAGGTATGTTTATTCAGAGAAAGTACGTTTTTGAGTCTGATTTTGCAACTTAAATCATACTTTGCTCCATTTAATTAGCATATTTAATTTACCCCCTCGAAAAATGAATTAGATCAAAAGTTATTTAGGGTTGTCCCTTTTTTTTTTTTTTTTTTTTTTTTTTTTTTTTTTTTTTTTTGCTCATTGTACATTACGACAAAAATAAACTAAACTATAAATATAATTTAGAAAAGAAAAATGTAGCTTTTTAAGCAAAACTAATATCACATTTGAAATCGTCACACCCGAATCAGGAGAAATCAAGCTCTCGGTAAGATAGTAAGGTAATTTTTGCAAGATCTACAAAGTTGGTTAATTAGGTTGGCAGGGTATGTTACGTAAGTTCAGTAAGATCTATGCGAAAAATTTGCTCTCAATCGTAATCTACGCAAAAATTTTAGCACAGCCTCTAAAGTTGCTTCGTTTGTTTTGCGTCCTCGCAAAGGAGAGCTATTCGGAATCACTTTCTCTTTTTCTCATTTATTATGAAACATTTTGATGCTGATAAGAATAACACGAAACAAAAAACAATAAGTTTACTCTTTTGATCAAAAAGCTTCGTTTTACGAGAATGGAGATGGCAACGATCTGCGAGATTTGGACCGATTTTGTAGCAAATTAATGGCTTTTTTAAATGCATAGAAAACAAGGATTTGGACGAGTTTAAGATGGTTTTTAATATTTCGTTAAATAGTAATGTTTATAAAAAACGCATTTCCAAAGTTAGAGGCAATTGCATGCTTTGCAACAGATTCGCATTAATAATATATGATTAAATTAACGTTTAATCATTTAAAAAATGACCCGCTAATTAATAAATTAATTAAAAAAGGATACAATTTTGGAAGAATTTTAAAATTTTGCGACTTTCGGCAAAAAGGATGTTTTGACATTACGTAGACCAGAGATGGCGAACCAATAGCACGCGTGCCATATATGGCACGAGACACAATATTTTGGGCACGCCATCGATCACAAATGTTATTACACTATGAATTGTTATTACAAATGTTAATGCACAATGAAGCATATGTAACAATTAAAATAAAATTCACAAAAGCGAACAAAATAATAAACAATTATTAATAAAAGAATTAACAATTAAGGCTAAAAAAACAATTAATAACCATAAAAAACAAGCTAACAATAAATAACTAGCAAAAAAAATAATAACTGTCCTGCTTAAACTAACATCCTACAACTTAACATAAGTTATTTGTCATCTAATCTGCAACAACAGAATTCACACTGATGTTACTTTAAGTTGTTTTAAGACATGGCAAAATGTATTTTTCTTTCAATGTAAATAGAGAGTTTTGAGCTGATTATTATAATTTATAAGTATTTAGTATTATTATTTTCCAAATAATGACGAAGTCAAAATTATTTGATGGCACGTCTATGACCTCATTAAACAATTTTTTAGAAAAATTGGCACGTTGGTGTATAAAGGCTCGCCACCCCTGACGTAGACTGTGTTAAAAACCATATAGAACACGAGTCATACACGCATATAGTACTCATTGACTGTTAACATGTCTTTAAAAATAAAGAGCTAAATGAAGAAGGAAAAAGACATCATCACGATTTGAAGCAATTGCAAGCTTTGCAACTGATTCGCATTGATAACATATAATTATATTAACGTTTAATCATTTAAAAGATGACGCGCGAAATTAATAAAATTAAAAAAGGTTACAATTTAGGAAGAATTTTAAAGTTTTGTGACTTTCGACACAAAGGAGATTTTGACATTATGTGCGCTGTCTTATAAACAATGGAGGGCACGCGAAAGGTAAGCGAAAAACATTGTTAAAGTATTAAAAGCTTATAATGTCGCTTTAGAAAATTACTAAGCTTAGCTCCAGAAAAATCCTATACCGCTCAAATTTTATTGAGTTTTTAAATTTCGACCAACAAGGTACATTGGGCTAAAATTTGAACTGACAACATTTCGTTGTTGTCTTGATTGATATTTTTGGTACCAAATGTCTTCTACTCTGAAACTATAAAGCACCTAAAAAACGTTTAATTAAACACCCTATATGTTAAAATAAATGATAAATGTTCTTTTTTTTTAAAAAAAATAATAATAATTATAGACACATAAATTACTTATTGACTGTTAATATGTATTTAAAATTAAATTATTCAAATTACTTATGTCTTTTTTTAACAATACCTAACTGACTGAACCTTTTGTCGAAGAGCAAATTTTTGTCAGGTAACATATCAGTAATTGCGAACTCAAACAGCGCATTCTTGTTGAAGACACATGCTTTATCTCTTTGTTGCTTCAAAGATGGCTATTATTAAAAATTAGTGAGCGTCTAGAATCAAGTAGTTTTACATTTCTAATGATTGGTAACACTTTCGGATTAAGTGTTGCTAGGCTGGAAACACTGCTCCGGAAAGGGTTAAAAATGCTTATAAACGAGGTCACCAAAGTTTGTACTTTTATTTTGCTCATTAATTTCAGAATTTTCACTCAAATTTTCAAGGTGCTATTTGCATAAAAATCTCATTATCTGCCATAAAAATAACTTTTTTTATAGCTTTTTCATGTCTTTCAGCATGTTGAAGAAATTATAGTAGTACGCATTTTTTTTCTTGCCCAAGCGCTTGTCTACCTTGACCTTCTATAATAAAAGTCATTAATATTGATTAGTACCACTAGAAATAAGTTCAATTGAATTTTTTACTGAGTAAATTTAATTTTAATAATCAATTAAATTAATTACCATTGAAAATAAATATATTATTAAAAAGAACTGAAAATTAAATAAGATTTACTGCTGCACTGGCACAGCACTTAACACATGGAAAATTATGGGTAGAAGGGAAACGTGGTGCAGAGGGTGAGTTTGAGTTATAGCTACAATCGTCTGTTTGTTGGTTCCCACGCAGAGAAAGCAAGCGGTAAGAAAGAGGCATACAAGTAATTCCCTATAACGAATTACTATACGTTTGCGTTAGATGCGCAGAAGTGATGTACGCATGCTAATGCAAGAGTACGAAAATCTGCTTGTATATTTCTTATTTACTGCTTACCTCATCAGTGTGTGGCCAGCCTAAAGGATTAATGGCGATCGAAATGGGCTGCAGGTGGCGTAGAGCAGAACTCTCTACCTATGGCAACACTTCATATGCTTTCCCCATTGGCGTGCGGAGAGTCATAGAGCAGGGAAGTACGTTAGTTTCTCTTTCGATTTTTATATAGATTAAAATCTTTTAAATTAGAAAACTATATGGAACTGAAAACTACATTAAACATAGTTCTAAAGAAAAGTATCAGGGAAATTTTAAGAAATATTTTTATTAAATAAAAAGGAAAAATATTAAGAAAAGGGAAAATATCGTAGTACATTCCTATACTACTGAAAAGAGGAGGAGAGAGAAGGGAGAAAGCATGAAACCGGTCTTTCCCCAGATGGCGTATTCGAGCGTTGCGATCGCCAATTTATACCAAATGTGATTTTCTTTTTTAATATAAATGAGAACCTGATGGCGAGATTTTCGTGGGAAAATATTTTCCTCCCTAATCCGGTTCACGAAAAATCGCATTTAGTTGCAATTGCAATGCAAACGTCAGCATTATCTTCAGATCATCATTAATGTTGAATCTCAGTTTGTCACCCCATTATAGTGTAGCACTAGTACAGCATTAATTACAAAATCAAACTTTACAGTATATAATTCAATTGAAATACATTTTTTGAATTTTATTCATTTATTGATACAACATACATTTTCATACACTGTGCTCAATTAAGGCTTATAAACCTTTGCCGAATAAAAGGACAGATAGCACAATACAGTGAAGAACAATACGAAGATACATCCAGGGTAGCAGTGGGATTCGAACCTACTACCTCTACGTACCCTTGCACGTTTTGAAAAAAGAAAAAAAAAAATTAAGTATTTTCTGCTGCCATCTGTTGATAAAATACAGAAACACAATTTGAATTTACATTATGAAAGCTGTAAGCAAACTATTTTCAGATTATTTCCATCACATTTATCGATATCAAATGATCGATTAAAAGAAAATAGACATTCATATCAATTAAATTGTTTATTTTTGTTGTCAAGCGAGTTGATATGCCAGTGATATTTGAAGTAGAATATCGAGCTTTTAAACTTATTTTTCCTCATAGACTTTTAAAATTAAGTTTATTCAAGTTCCTTTCTATTTTTCTTTGAGTATTTATAGGAGATACTTTTTTTATATTTCATTCTAAACCAATATATAAGAAATGGCGGACGCTTGCGATGTGGCAGAACCCGCCGATGATTGTAAACAAAATGCTAAAGAATTTTACTGCGGTGTTGTTGAAGGTTTGTTATATATTTCGTCATAACTTTCGGTCTAATATATTTTTGTTTACTATTGTTTCATTAAATGAATTTTCGTGGCTAATAGTTTAAAAATCTGTTGATTTCATATTATGTTAATGGATATTTATCCCAATATGTCATTTTGTATCCCATTTTTAATTTTCTAGTAATAAAAAATCTACTTTTTAAAAGAAAATTTCATTTTTTAAGGTTATTTGCAAATTTTTAAGAAACAACTGTTACAGTGTACTCTTTCCTCCTCCTTCTTTCCTCCTCCTCTTTCAACTCCTTCAATAAAACGACCTTATTTTTCACTATATAATAGGCCCCGTTTTGCTTTTACATTAATGAAATAAAGATATTTCCGTATCGTTATCTGTCAGGCCAACTACAATAGCCAAGGTGCCAATTAGAGTTTAAACATGCAAAAAAAATTTTAAAAAAAGCATGCAGATTTTTACTTGAGGGTAACTGCTAGTTTTACCTTCTGAGTTGGTCCCTTTCTGTGATGTTTTTTGTTTTAGTTTCTCACTGACCACTTTCCACAAGTTGCCAAGAGTTGGTGATTATTCTGCTATAGATCACAATAAGAAAATCTCCCATTTGAAACGTTATTCTAGGGAAAATTCTGTTTATTCTAATAATGTTGCATCTTGTACTGTATTAGAAATGTTTGTGCACCTTTATTTTAAAGTGATTTAGGAAATAGTTCCATATTCTTGCCAATTACTATCGCCCTTTGAACAGAGCCCATCCCACCTGTAGGGCACAGGTGAGGAACTAATGTCATAATCAACGTTTTTATGAACAGAAAAAGATTCTGGGGCATCTATATGAGCTGATGTGATCTGGATGAAGGTAATAGAGATATTGCCAAAACTGAATTTATTCCTAAGCTTCCAACAATATACAGTTAATAGTGATTTTTTCAAGTTCTTGGTAACGGATATAATCATGTTACTCACGTCTAAATTTTTAAAGTATTTCTAGTTTGTAACATGTAGCAGAGTATAGATTATAGACTTTTTACTGTTAATTGATTTAAATCGAGATGATTTTTAAAGAATTTTTCATAAATTTACTAATATAGAATTTTATGTTATTTTAGGATTTTATGGAAGACCATGGACTCCAGAACAAAGAAGAGATCTATTTGTCAAGTAAATGCTTAATTATGACACTTTTTTAGCTTCTTTAAAAACTTTCTGAATATTGATGTTTCCTTACTGCTGTCTTATGGAAATATTTTTAGAATCATTAAAAATGAAATCAAAAATTAGACAGATTCAAAGTTTCAAATTAAAGAGCCAAGGAGAAGCAAAAACGCTATTAACGTAGAATACATCAGTGCTAGAAAAAGGGGAATTGAAAACATCAAAACCTGTTTATTTTCCTTGGAAAACAGGAGCAGAGGGGGGAAACTTGTTTTGATAGTTATAAGTCTTGCAATTCTAAGTAAGGATTTTGTTCAGTCCAAAAATTTGATATTGTACTCACACTTGAGAGAGAGAAAATCAAATTTCAATTATATAATGATGTGTACCAGGTTATGGTACACATCAAGAAATATTAATTGCTCTCTGTATAATTATACTAACTAATTAGGTTCATTAATCCATAATGATTGAAGGTAAATATTTATTAAAATTAAGTGAAAAAGCTAAGATAATGTTAGTAAATAGATTCAACATAGAGACCAACTGAGACCAAAAAAATTAATGAGTGAAACAGAGAAAATAAGAACTTTACTTGAATAAGGTTAACTTACATTGTATAATAATGAGTAATATCACAATATTTCTGCCAGTATAACAAATTTTCTGCACATGTTGCTCCCACATTTGTGTATATTATGCATATCTGCTTTTGAATACAAAACAAATTTTAAAGTAGTTTCTATATAGCTGTCATATTTTATGTCATTTGCAGAAAGACAACAATCAAAGCAAGTAGATTTAAAAGAAAATGCTACTTTCTAAAAATATCATTGTTTGGATTTCTATATTTGAACCATTTATTTGCCGTAGTGGTCAAAACAATTTTAAATAAAATGTATAAAACCATGAAACAAATATCAGGGGTCGATTTGGGAAGAATTGGAGTCCATCTATTTATTTTATTCCATTATTATATTTTCTGCATTACATTTTATTCCTTTTTTGACAAATGTTTGAAAAAATATTTATTTATGATATTGAATTTTAATTCATGCATTGATGTTTTGTAGAATGAAAAAGCTTGGCTTAAACACTTACATGTATGCACCAAAAGATGATTTCAAGCATCGTGCATATTGGAGAGAGATGTATTCTGTTGAAGAAGCTGGTATGTAGTTTTTTTTTTCCCATTTTGTTTCCTAAATATTATTTCAAAAGTCAACAATATTTAACTTTTTTATATCAAAAACTTACTTAAACCATCCAAAGTTGGCAAAATAAAAAAAATCTCAGGTAAGGTTTTATATTGCTAATTCTTGGAATAGTGGTGAAAGAGGCTAATACTTGTCCCTTTCATCATCTTATCAATTTTTTTTTCTATTCCATTATTTTCATTTCGAACTAAATTAAAAATCTTGACCCACATTGAAAAGTCAACACAGTCCCTAATAGTTCTTTTTACCTGAATTCTGTGCCTGATTTCTCTTCATATATGGTATTTATTTTCAGCGCATGAAATTTTTCTTGAGAAACATATTCGTACGAGTGAAATATTTCTTGAAAAGCATTGAGTGCCAGAAATGTTTCTTGAAGTGGCAAATGAAGTTAATTTTGTATTAAACATCGTAAAAAATATTAAGGAAAATATCTTATATTCATGTAATACCTATCCTTAGTTGACATATAAGCATATTTTGCATGAGAATCAGATGCACTTGCAAACTCAGCCAAGCTATTATTGTACCATAACTTAACACTTTAATATTATAGACTACAAATACCAACTTTTTATTTCTTTCAAAGGTCAATCGATTTTTTTTTCCGCCCAATGTGGTGAACCATAAGTAATTTTTCTGTTGCTGTTGAAGGCATTATTAGTACTAGTACTGTTTGCAAGTTTGGCCAATTAGTCCCTAATACATATTCCTTTACACTAAGCTATTGGATTAATATTTTCAGCAGACTTTAAAAGATATTGACCATTTTTTATTTCTTCAGAAAAACCCTCCTCGTCCTGATATTCATCTTGTCCTTATTCTTCACAAATCGAGCTGATAATAAAATTTTACTAGCTTTTGTTAATTTTAGTAAATACTTTAACAACCATACTAATGGTCAGCTTGTTAAATGCAATATTATTTCATTATAATATTCATAATATTCAACAAATAGTGAAGTTTTGAAGCATGCAGCAAAAATATATCTTCATCTAGAATGCAAAATATGCAAAAAAATACTGAGAATCTTTATTCTTATACTGATATTATTCTTATCTATGATTANACACAGTTTATTTTATTTGTTTGTAAGGGAGAGCCAGAGAGATACTTTATGGGCTTATATTCATGATTAATATTCATTTTTATCAGTTAATAATTATTATAATCATAAACTCAAGAAAGAAAGACATATTTGTAAATTTTAATTACTTCTCTAGGTCATCATAGGTATGTGTAAAATTTTAAATATATTTTAAATAAACAGAAATATTGAGAAAAAGGAAAAGAATCTTATTTAAATGTTTTTCAATTTAAACTGTTTTCTTTTTCTTTTCTTTTTTTTAAACTCAAGAAATTTCCGGAACTTTGACTTGGACTCACAATCACCCCTGTTGAAGTGACCACCTATTGTATCCTTATCTTAACTGAAAAAGGGAAATTCCATTTTAGCTGTTCAAACATTTCTCAAAAGGAAACAAATTTTTTTCATTTCAGTACCCCTTTATGCAATTAGGTGGGGACAGAAAACAACAAATATCTATTTAAATGGGTTTAACATTTGTTGCATATAAAATGATTTGGTTCCATTAAATTTCATTCAATATGCAATTAAGTGGGGACAACTGTATCACCATTTCTTAATACTAATCTAACTCTTTATAGTTTGGACAGTAGAGAAGATCGTATTAAAAATATAAATATTTTAATTTCGTAACATAAACTTATACATGCATTTAAATTATGCTGCATATAATTTATTTAGAATTCCATGTTTTAAAATTGCCAATGATTTAAATTTATAAAGACATAACATTTTTTTTTAATGCATCATTAATGATTTTACTCAAGAAATTTTCAGAATTTTTGAGTTGGGCTCGCAATCACTTACATTGTACAATAATGAGTAATATCAAAAGTTTCTGCAAGAATGACAAATTTTCTGCAAACATTGATCATGCGTTCGTGCATGTTATGCATATCTGCTTTAAAATATAACAATATAAAGTAGTTTCTATTTATATAGCTATCATATTTTATGTTGTTTGCAAAAGATTTTTCTCATTGGTTGAAAAATAACAAAGCAAGTAGATTTAAAAGGAAATGCTACTTACTAAAAATATAATTGTTTGGATTTCTATGTTTGAACCATTTATTTGCCGTAGTGGTCAAAACAAATTTAAATAAAATTTATAAAACCAAAAATCTAATATCGGAAATCGATTTGGGAAGAATTTGAGTCCTTCTATTTATTTTATTCCATTATTATATTTTTGAAGTTATACTTCTTATGCGACTTTCAACAAGGTTGCGTTAAACGTTTAACGCTACATTTTTATTGGCCAGGAAATCACATGGTAGGATCCAGTTTTCCCTCATTCATTGCCATATTGTTTTGGTTCTCACTAGCATAAAAATAATAAAAGTCATAAAAAGTATTGTTTTTCAATAAATATTTTTTTAGTTTGTTTTGATACACATATAATTTAATAGGGTAGTGTTTTTTATTTTCAAATTTAGTGGATAACAATTGTAAAAAATGAGTGAAAACAATCCCACGGACAATGCGACGGATTTAAGGTTATGTCAAGGTACGTCTCTTGTGAATATCAATTGATTGTTAGGTTTTCTCTTTTGAAATTACATTATGACGCATTCACATACATTATTA